GTACTGACCGGTATGCACAACAAAATATTTGGTATATTGCAAAGTCTGCCAGAAGCTCTACTGCCAAAGGATATGTAAGAGACCAGTACCAAGTTGGCACCGGGCATTATGCAGAGCTTATAAGCCATCTTTTCCATTTTGGAAGTGATGCTCAAGAACAGAGGAAAGGTAAGGTGTGGTACTGTTTGTGAATGAGGGATTGAGGTTATAGCTGCTGTGACAAAAATATAAGAAATAGGAGCAGGAGTAGACTATTTGGCTTTTCAAGCCTGCACTGCCATTCAACAAGAATAATGGTTTATCTCGTATATCATCTGCATTATGCAGGTATGCATTACACATGTGTTTGTGCGTTGCACAGTGGAGTCATCCGTCATGTAGTTTATATATACCACATTGCCCTGTAGCTACCTTTTGGTTTCTTGTGGCTAAAATGCATATAGTGGAAAGGATGTCCACAGAACGAAGGCATTATAACTGCTGCCAAGATATTGAACATAAAGCCGCATCATTGATTTACGTATGGAAACTGAGTGCATGAAATTCTTTGCTGTTCAGCATAGGGCAAAATCGATGTCTCCTTTTCTCTGTGGTTGTCCTCGGGTGCAGTACAGGAACAAAAGCCCCAAGATCCAAACGAAATTTATAAATGAAATCATGGCCACACTCCAAAGACATTAGATAATCATCCTTAGTTCCCATCATCCCTTTGCCTGTCCAAGTGGTCCTTTGCAATGCCATCCTATTGACTGCAGTACGACTGGTGAAAGCCTGATGATATTCAATAGAGGAGACCATAGCTGGGTTTGGAGGACATCCTCGAGCAGCTCTGGGCCAAACAGGCCTGGTTTTGGATCCCACCAGCTTAACAGTCGTGACAGTAGTCTGGGATTCTAACTGGCAGGCACAGCAAGGGTATGAGCAAAATGACAATGTGAGAAGGATGAGAGCTGCCTTTCTCAAAGGGGACACAATATCTGTGCTCCAGAGAGTCAGTAATACTTGCCCGTGGCCCCAACTCAGCAATCTTAACGAGAGAATGAGGTATAGTCAGCTTTCAGCGAATTTTCCAAAGACAACTGGAAAGGAATCATGCACTTGACATTTTATTGGTATGATCACCTTTGCATTTGCTCTGCTGTAAAGTTGTAGCTGTGGCAGACTTTTGTGAGGACATCCTTTCTGAAGTGTAGACAGCTCATGCATCATTTCTAGCTGAAATTCAGATAGGAAAATAGCTCCCTGAAAATTCTCGGCACATTTGGCCTCCTGCTCGAGCTCTCCTCCTCCATCTTCCAGCAATTTATCTTGCTGTCCAGGCCCTATATTGTTCTCCGAATCATGCTGTATTCCAAAGGGATCACCCGTGCACCAATGTCTAGGCGAAACTGATTTGAGTTGAAGTCAGCAGAATCTCCTTCACCACTTGAGACACTGGTCAAAGGTGAATTTTATGAATTTCATTCATTGGAATGAAATGTGGCTTGATGGATTTTTTTTAACATCATAATCTTTTGTTGAAATATAAGCATACAAGGCTGCAGATTTGATTTAACAATAAATCAGAACTGTATTACACACACAAAAGAAGTGAAAATAAAATAGAATATGACATAGTTTAAAATGTTGTAAATTACAGGGAAAAACAAAATCCCATCTACCCCTCAACACCATCACTTTGCAGTTACTCAAATCTCCAGAGGAATTCATTCTCTAACAAATCTTTAGATTTGACTTAATGTTTCATCTCAGTTCTAGTCCTGTGAGCTGTGAGGCCTTATGACACTCACACAAATCTTAAATTTTAGACTTTATCAACTTTGGAAAACCAGTGCAGGTTTCTAAACAAATACTCTTGGTCTGGAAGTTTCACACTCTAAATTCTTTCACTGAGGTACCTAGTTTCTTTAATTGTCCAAAACAATCTGGCATTTCTGGGAGAAACTATACTTGCATCTAACATCAATCAGGGCTCTTTCCAACTGCCCAAAATCTTTCCAATCTCCACATCTTTCTATTTGATTATTCTGAATCCAAAAGCAAACTGATGTGTTTTAATGTTTTCTCTCTCCTGTCAAGCACCCACAATGTAAACAAATATCAATTAAAACTCCATGAGGCCTTGAAGACTTGTTCTCTGACACTTACTGCTTTAAAATCATGATTCTAGAAAGACTGACCTACCTAAGTTTTAATAAAAACAGAAATTGCTGGAGAAATTCAGCAGATCTAGTGGCATCTTTGGGGAGAAAGCAGAGTTAATGTTTCAACTCTTCATCAAAACCAGGTGATAATGATTCTTTTAAATTTTTGAATGTGTTCTTCAGAAGCAGTTGCCATAGTGGCTTTCATTACATCTCTTTTTACTTGTCCAACTAGATCCCAAATCCTTATATTTAATACAACTGGATATTATTTAGTGAGCTACTCTTCAAACAATGAACCTGAAAACTTTAAAACTGACTAATATTCAGATTTTTCTTTACAAGTCATCTGCCTGTTTACATCCTACTTACCCCATGCATTTTTGTTTATACATGTTTCATTTTCAAGATTGCACTGATGTGTGACATTTCTTTATGTTTTTCTTTTTTTTTCTACTGATCTTCTTCCCCTGTTTCAACCTTCCCTGAAAATGGTTGCACCTTGTCTCCTTTACACTGTCGCCATGGCATTTGACTACTTGGCAGGAGAATTGGAAATTATATACACTTAAGAGGGGTGTTAGTGAATAAAGAATGCAGATACAGTTAATAAATGAAGAGGTCAATTAACTGAAGGAAAATCGGAGGGAGAACCGAGTTCTCAGAAATCTCTGTTCTGAGGAAAATAAATTGGTTGACGACTCATCGTAATCATGTAAAATTACTGTGTGTTTGTAGATCTCCAATCACCCACAAATGTATTCAGTCTTCACGTACAACTCCACCGTGTGTTGCCAAGCTGTGTAATTACAGAGGCATCACATCCATTCATTTCTATTCATACCTCATTTTACAAATGTGTTTCTGGCAAGGGTTATTGAGTGATGATCGGGGATGGGGAATGCTGTGCACACCTCTGTCCAGCCCAATTTAGTTGTGTTGGGATCAACTTCTGGGTTTCACCGCACATCTGTTTGAACCCTGCCAACCAAGCACTGAGTAAGTAGTGAACCTGTAACCTTATTAGTCTTAAAAATTCAACTGCATGGAAGGAGTCCATGTCCAAATGCAATAAGACCTGGACAATATCCAGGCTTGGGCTGAAAAGTGGCATGTAATATTCATGCCATACAAATGCCAAGCAATGATAGACACTTTAACAATTGCCCTTGACATTCCATGGCATTATCATCACTGAAACCCCAACTATCAGCATCACTAACTTGGGGGTTACCATTGACCGGATATGAATCTGGACTAGTCATATAATTATTATGGCTATAAGAGCAGGACAGAAGCTAGGAATCTTTTAGCAGGTTACTTAACTCCTGACTCCCAAGAACTATCCAATATCTACAAGGCATAATCAGGAATATGGTAGGATAATCTCCATTTGCCTGGATGAGTGCAGCTCCAACAAAACTCAAGAAGCATGACACCATTCAGGACAAAGCAGCCAGCTTTATTTGCTCCACATACATTCCTTACACTACCAACACCCAGTAGCAACAGTGTGTACCACCTACAAGATGCACTGCAGAAATTCACAGCTCCTTAGACAGCACCATCCAAACAATTCCATTGGGAAGGGCAAGGGCAGCAGATACATGAAAACATTGTGATAATGCTGTCACTTTAAAAAGGTTGGTTTGTCCTTGGTTTTTGTTTTTAAGAGAGTTTGTAAAGGCAGAGGTGAAGAAGTGGTTAAGGAAGTCAGCCTAAGTCAACAATCAGAGGAGGCCTTTAGGTTTTTTTAAAAATAGTTGTAACAATGCAAAGGGAGAGGCCAGTTCTCACAGATCGAGCTTTGTAATTTTTTTAGGTGTAGCAGTCAGAAGCTGTTTGAGTCCCAGAAGAGTTGGAACTTCAGTAAAATGATTCCTAGCTGCTACATTGTCTGAAATCTCTCTTAATGTTGTTTCCTCCTGATTTGGAGAATTGCCTGTAAGGATCTGTGTCTGAATTTACCTTTTTGCCAAGAGGTGTGTTTATGGGATATTACTGTATTGGACCAGATAATTATTAATAGGCACTGTATCTGTTATTTGGTTAAGTTTTCCAACAGTTAAGTTATTCTAAATTCCTCTTTCTTTTGTTTGTATTTTAACTACGGTGTTTAAATAAATTGTGGTTTGCTTAACGTTGAGTGGTTTGACAAGTTGCATCATATCTAGAACACGCATTTCACATCGACCTTTAAAATAAAAGGTTAGGGTGTAGGCTACCTTCTTAAAATATTTTGAGGGGGTCTGAGTCTGCACAAACTCTCTGAAAAGCATCCCACTCAAACTCAGGCCACCACATCCTAATGACCCTACGTTTTGCCATGGTTAGTCCTTCTAGCCTGCACACCCCTAGACACTACAGAATTGCAGCACGGCCAACCCACCTAGCTTGCACACCTTTGGACTGTGGGAGGAAACTGGAGCACCTGGTAGAAACCGAAACAGACATGGAGACCACATACAAATTCCACACAATCACCAAGGGTGGAGTTAAACCCGGGTCCCTGGCGCTATGAGGCAGCAATGCTAATCATTGAGCCACGATGTCACCCTAGATAAATGCTGGCCTAGCAAGTAATCCCCACATCCTATGAGTAAAAGCTTACTGCCTTAATTATCAGATTAGTATTTACATGATCAGCAAATACAATCTATTGCCTCAGGCTATGTCATTTAAGTTAATAATTATGGTAACTTTCATTTTGTTATATCTGCTCTATTCCCTGTGTGCAATAATTATTTGGCTTTCATGCTACAGTTTGGTATAATTAAAATATTTTTAATATGATGCTTTGTAATTTTACTTTTTAAAAACTTGGCACGAGTTTGCATTGATTTTTTTTTTCTCCAGTTTATTTCAGCATTACAAACTGTATGAGTTCCTTTACAATCAAACTCCAGATATACAGATTCTAGACACGAAGGTCAGTAATCAATAACTTTCTTTCAACTAAAATCCCTCCATCAATTTTCTCTTCTCCCTTGTGCTGGAAGTAGGAATTTCAACACAACTGATCTGCTACAAGCCCAAGTATGATTAACTAGACTGGGAATTTAATACGGAACCTTCTTGTCTTATATGGCTTAACTGTTGTGTCTACCCTTGCTCAGCCATTAAGTCATTAACATAATTTAACATTAATATCTTTAAATTAAAGTGCACGTAATATCTGAAAGCCATATATTTGTGAAATACTAAGTATCAAAGGAACGGTTTATTTTATTTGTAAAGTAAATTGGAGCTCTTTATGTATTAATTCATATGTTTTATAATGGGAGCCCAATCCCAAAAATAGACTTAAAGGCTTAAAAGGATTGTGGTTTTCTTTGAACCACATGATGGAATGTTGTTTTTGGAGAAAGACTAGTTTCAATGCATGGCTTAAAATTCAGCATTTATAGCTGTTATTTTTGCTGATATAGAAATTCCAGATGCCAATATTTATAGCATCTTCATTTTAGAAGAAGGGCACAATTGACACTGTAAGGAAGAAAAATATTATTATATGAAGAGTATCAAAGGAATTACTTTTATGGAGGTGAGGCAATTCAATGATCTTTGCTACTGGAAGTTTATTTTCTTCAGTACACTTATTTTAAAATATGTTGTAAAGTAGGCAGTATCATCCTACTCTAATTCCAACAGCAATGATTCAATCCATAAAATATTTGTGTCCTGTGGGAAATTTCCTCTGGCTTTGGAAAATTGATCAAAAACAATCCTCCTCAGAAGCGATAAACAAAACCTTCATAGGTTTGATGAACAGCAGTTATTTGACGAGTGGGGGAAAAGAAACTTAATTTTCCTATGTGCACGTTTCTTGGATTTCAGACCGTTTCTTTTCATGGTTCAGAGACATTGGCACATGAAGTGCAGACCTGGCCCACTCTAGTTCAAGGAAATAGTCTGATAATTAAAGGAAGGGCACTGAACTTTGGATAAGGACCAGAGTTTTTCCTGCCTTTGTTTCAATCACCCTTCTGAACACATAAGATTTTTATTCCTTTGATCAAATTTCTTAACTCCTCTAAACTGCCTATATATTCATCAAAAAGTTTGGCAGAAATTTGGCTGTTAATTCTGAAAAACAATTGTTAAATTTAAAAAGAATACTATCAAACTAAAGTGAGGAATGATAAAATTGTTACGTGTGTTGATGGCTTGATCTGAGTTACTTTAAAGAATAGAAGAATTTGAGAGCTGTAGTGTTCTTCAAGCAGAGAGAATTCTGTTTTCCTGAAACAATAAATCAAGGAGGCTGTCATTTAAAATAAATCACCGGATAAAATCATGAACCAAATGTTACAGTATGAGCTAAAGTGAATATCAATAATAAGTTTGAACGGTTAAAGAATACATATATAGGAATTAAATTTGTTAAATTGCTCTGTGACACTTGAAATTAACTCATTGAAGTGCCTTCAAGACATTTCTGTTTGGCGCTTTTCTTTCTTCCTGCCTACCCCTACCCTTGAATTTGGTGCACAACCACTGTGTTGTGCTCTGAGATCCCTTTGTTTCTTGATCAGTGCAAGAGAAATGTAAATTTGCTTTTTTTATGTCCTTAAATTGTTTCATACAAGCTTTGTCTTCTATCTAGGTTTAGTTGCAATAATTAAATGGGATTGCAAACAGGTTATGTTTATTTTGGAGAATATCCATTAAGAATGTTTTTTAAAATTCTCAATCATGTTTTAAATGAATTAGTTTAATATTAATAGTTTAATTTCCATATTTGCAAAAAGAAATTTCATATTTAGAAAAGAGAATTTTATTTGAAAGGAATTAATTCTGTTACCAAGCACCACTAGTATAGAAGGTCTCTGAACACTACTAGATTTCAGTATATTACACACTGATGTAGTTTTTTAAAAACACTATACTCAAAAGAAGCCATATTGCTTTAAGTTAGTGACAGTGATAGGTTGTTATTTTATGATTAATTTATTTATTTCTTTCACTGAGTGTAATGACACGTAGTTAGTTTCTATAACAGTAAATATACTCCTTAAAATTAATGATCTCAGACTCAGATTGTAAAAGGATTGAGTTAGAAATCTGTACTTTTAAATTGCAACAAAATTAATTCTTTATTAAATTGCTATGACAGTTTAAAGGCTATAAATAATTTGGGAGTGAATGGGGGAACCTTTTGACTGAAGGATTGAAGTTTCTGAAAAAGGTACTCTGCAGAGAACATTTAATGTAACATTTAAATTTCACAGTGTGAAACAAAACAGGAAGTGCTGATCAACATGATTTCATGCTCATGCAATATTAGTATGTGCATTGAACCAGGATGCATTAATGTTTTAGTTGTCTAGACATTGGACAAGAACAGTCTGTTAGAAAACAGAAGAGTTCCAAAGATTCGCAATCCTCTGGGAGAAGACATTTCTCCTCAACTCTGTCTTAAATGGGCAGCTCTCATTTTTAAAAGTGGATGACCCCAAGTTCTAGGTTCTCTCTCAAGAAGAAATATCCTTTCCATATCGACCCTGTCAAACTCGCTTTGGCTCTTATGTGTTTCAATCAAATTGCCTTGTTTTAAGCTCTAACTGATATAAACCTAACCTGTCCAACCTTTCCTTGTAAGACAAATCACCCTTTCAGGTGCTAGTCTAGTAAATCTTCTCTGAACTGCTTCCAATGGATTTGCATCCTTCCTTAAATAAGGGTGATCAATACTATACACATTTCTCCAGATGTAGTTACACCGTTGACCTTCTAACTGAAGCGTAACCTTCTATATTCAATGCCTTTTGCAATAAATGATCACATTCTATTAACTTTCTTAATTACTTGCTGTACATGTTATTACTAACCTTTTGCAATTCATACACTTGGGCGCTCAAATCCCTCTGCATTTCAGAGCTCTGTAATCTCTCACCATTTATACAGTATGCCAAAACTGGCAAATTCACACTTTCTGACATTATGCTCCATTTGCCAGATCCTTGTCTACTCACTTAATCTATCTATGTCCATTTAAAGCCTCCTTATGTCCTCTTTACAACTTATTTTTCTACCTATCTTTGAGTCATCAACATATTTAGCAACCATACCTTCAGTCCCTTCATCCAAGTAATTAATACAAATTGTTAGAATTTGAGGCCCAAGTACTGATCTCCTTGGCACATCACTCATTACGTCTTGCTAACCAGTAAAAAGATCCACTTGTGCTTACTCTGTTTCATTTTAGCTAGCCAATTTTGTATCTGTGCCATTATATTATCCCCTACACCATATACTTTGATTTCTCACAGTAACCTTTCATGTGGCGTCTTATCAAATGCCTTCTCGAAATCTAATAGTATTTTCTCCTTTACCCATATGATGTATTATTTCTTCAAAGAACTCCAATAAATTGGTTAAACATGATGTCCCTTTTACAAAGTTATGTTGACTTTGCCTGATTACCTTGAATTTGTTTTATAAGTGCCTTGCGATAACATCCTTAATAGCTTCTAAGTTTTCCCAATATCATGTTAAACTAGCTGACCTGTAGTTTCCTGCTTTCTGTCTTGCTTCCTTGTTGAATAAATGAGTTACATTTCCTGTCTAATGAAACTTTCACAAATTATGGAGAATTAGAAACAACACATCAACTATATCACTTCCTTTAAGAACCTAGAATGACGTCCACCAGGACTGGGAACTTTGTCAGCCACAGTTTCAACAATTTGCTCAGTCCTGCTTTCCTGGAGTGCATGTAATTTTGTGGAGTTCTTCCGTTCCTTTCACTTCTTAAATTACTTACAACAATTTGTACGATGTTACTTGTATCCCTTACAGTGGAAAAATAATGTGGCACACCGATTCAATTCATCTACCATCTCCGTATTTTCCATTATCAATTTCCCAGACTTAACTTCTGTAGGACCATCATTCACTTTGGACTCTGCTAACTCTTTGCTTTTTTAAATATCTATACAAAACTCTTATTATCTGTTTTCTTATTTCTAACTAGATTTCTCTTGTACTCTTTTTCCCGCCATATCAATCTTTTAGTCATTTTCCTGTGTTTAAATATTCTATCCAATCTGCTGACCTGCTACCCATCTTAACACAACTATTGGCTTTTTTCTTTAAGTTCAAATCTATTTTTAACTTTATTAGTTAATCATGGATGGTGGGTCCTTTCCTTGAAAATTTTCTTTCTTGCTGGATTATATCTATTGTGTGTATTCTGAAATAACCATTTAAGTGTTTGCCGTGCATCAATATTCAACTATCCCTGAACATATTTGTCAGTTCTTTAGCTAGCTTTGTTACTGTGTTCTTATAATTATCTTTATTTAAATTCAAAATTCTATACTCAGATTCTCTCTCCTTGCCATCCAACTGAGTTTATAAAATAATCCTAATGTATTGTATAATACCAGATATAGTATAGCCTGCTCTCCAGTCAACTCCAGAAAGTGCTGTGATTAGAAACAATCCCTAAAACATTAAATGAACTCTTTGTCTAGAATGATTTTGTCCATCTGATTTTTTCAGTCCATATGTTGATTAAAACCCTCCACGGTTATTGCAGTACTTTTCTGACAAGCTTTCATTATGTCTTTCTTTACACTCCAACCTACTATATGATTATTGTTGGGGTGCCTGTATGCCATTCTATCAAGTGACTTCTTGCCTTTATCATTTCTTATCTTTCCCAAAAGCACTTCTATGCCCTGGGTTCCTAAATTGTAATAATCTGCCTTTGCTGTGCTAATACCATATTTAATTAACAGAGCCACCACTTCACCTTTCTCTAGCTTATAGTCCTTCCCCAAAATGTCATGTACCCTTCAAAATTGAGGTCCCAGTTGATGTCATCTTGCAGCCTTGCTACCAAACCAAATTTATTTGTTTCTGTTTTGTTCTTTATGTTATGTGCAGTCAGATCCAGAGCCTTTTGCTTTGCCCTTTTGAGTTTTGTAATCTCTAGCCAAATCTGATAATTTATTCTCCGATATCTACTCTCTATCCCTTCTTGTTTCAGTTTGTTTATCATTTTCTGTGTTAATACCTTTCTTGCCTTGTCTCTACTCTTTCATTTATCACATTTTCCCAAATTTGATCTCTACCCCCACTGTATAGTTTAAAGCCCTCTCGACTTCCAAAGTTATGTGGCTCACTAGAATGTCAGCCCCAGAACGGTTCATGTGTAGACTGTCCCAACAGTGCAGACCTCACTTTCCCCAGTATTGATCCCAATGCCCTATACTTTTCCCACACCAGTTTTTGTGGCACTCATTCAGTTGTCTAATGTTATTTGCCTTGTGCCAATTTAATCATGACTCTGGTATTAATCCAGAGATATTTTCTTCTGGGGGTGCCTTTTTTTAAAATTTGCTACTGGCTCCTCATACTGACTATGAGAACCCTGTGTCATTGGTATCTACATGGGCCAGAATGGTTGTGTATTTCCTTCCCACTGTGAGTGTCTCTTTAGCACCAAATATGTGACTTGAACCATGGCAGCGGGCAGGCAGCATAACCTGTTGAGTTCTTTGTACTTGCTGTAGAGAACAGTGACAATCCCTTCGCTATCCTGTCCCCTAAAATTCACTGCAATTTTTTGTTCCCCTCGCCTGAATGTCCTGCAGCACAGTGCCACGGTACCTGCATTTCCCACTCTCAACCAAACAAGCTGAAAGCACCCAAAACCTGTAGAAAATTACTTAAGAGGAAGTGGAAAAGTAGGAAGCTTGGTGATCTTGCAGAGAGAGAGGTCTAAAGTAAGTCGGATTGAGAGCTTGTATTGTGGCAGGATTGGACTGATCTAGGTAATGAAGTTGAGCTCAGGAGTACATTAAACCCAGGTCAAGGCTGTCATAGATGGAATTCATCATTCTGGGCCTTTCAGTCACATCGATAATTGGGTGCAAGCCACTCAAAATCTCCTATGCCTTCAATTTGTATTCCAACTCAGTTACAAAAATGGGAGCAGCACACTAGAGAGAATCTTTTTAAAATTCTTTCATGGGACGTGGGCTTTGCTGGCCAGGTGAGCATTTATTGCCCATCCCTAGTTGCCCTTGAAAATATCTATCTTCTTGGACTTCTGCAATCCATTTGTAGTGGGTAGACCCACAATGCTTATAAGAGAGTTTCAGGATTTTGACCCAGCAACACTGAAGAAGTGGCGATACAATTCCAAGTCAAGACAGGGATTTGCTTGGAAGGGAACTTGCAGATAGTGGTGTTCCCTTGTATCTGCTGCCCTTGTAATAAAGTCATTTAGCACAGAAACAGACCCTTCGGTCCAACCAGTCCGTGCCAATCATAATCCCAAACTAAGCTAGTCACACCTGCGTGCACTTGGCCCGTATTGATGTCAAAAGACACAAATGTAATGAGGGGTTGGATTTGAAGATAGCCTAAAACCAAAAGCTTCAAAATATGAAAGGTTATAGATTGGAATAAAGTACTTCTGGAGATTCTGTTGAACAAAAATGGCAGAATGTAAACAAGTTGAGAATGATCCAGAATGAGGGCAATGTCAAATGAATGAGGAGAAGTCAAGCGAGAACGATGGAGAAATTGCACTTAACAAAGTTTACAGGAATGTAGTTATAAAATGTTGTTATAAACAGAAAGAAAATTTGAAAAAAATCAGTAAACAAAAAAGGTTCAAAGATGCCTTTAAACAAGGAACAAGCAAATATTCACAAATAATAAATCTGCCTTCAGCTCAGGAGAATTAATAGAATTTAGTTTCATTTTGGGGGGGAGAAAAGATTCATCATTAGAAAAAAACTGCCAGCAGCAGGACTGAAACCTGCAATCACCCTGATGAACAGCGAAAACAGATGCCTTACCAATTTGGCCATGCACTGACATGGTGGTGCTCTGACATTATAAAATCTAATGTCATTGGACATTAAAACCCATGATTGTAGTATTCCACTTGGATGTTCTCGTCCCTGGACTCATTCATGTTCCTTCATTCTCTCCATGCCGATTATTTTTACATCTTATTCCTCTGTAAATTTATTTACCTCCTCTGTTCATTCCTCTTCAAATCCAGGCATTAAACCATAGCTTGTCCTTTTAGATGTTTGTTGTTTTAGGTTTGGAAGTTGTTGTGTAAGGAGTATTGGTAAATTTCCCAGTAGATGGTACACATTGTAGCTACTGAGCATCGGTGGTGAAGGGTTTGTGGGTGTGAGGCCAGTCAAGTGGGCACCTTTGTCCAAGGTGGTGTCAATCTTTTTGACTGTTGTTGATGCTACACTCATCCAGGTGAGTGGGAGTATTCCATCACATTCCTGACTTGTGTCTTTGTGTGATGGACAGCAGTAGGGAGAAGGGAAGGTTTTTCAGGATTCCTAGCCTCTGACCTGCTCTTGTAGCCACAGGATTTATATGGTTAGTCCAGTGCTGTTTCTGGTCGATTGTAACCCTCAGAACATTGACAGTGGGTGGGGAATTCAATGATGAAATTGTCCTTGAACGTCAGGGACGATGATTAGATTTTCCCTTGGCAGAGATGGTCATTGCCTGGCACTTCTGTAGCATGAATGTTACTTACCGCTTGTCACTACAAGCCTTGATGTTTGCAAGTTTTGCTGCATGCGAACATAAACTGTTTTAGCATCTTAGGGATAACAAAATGTATAGCTGGATGAACACAGCAGGCCAAGC